AGGTCGAATATTGTAGTATTATTTGGAGCCCTTACTATGATGAAGCTGCTATTGAAAGAGTACAACGGAAGTTTATGAAGTTTGTTCTGTTTAGGATTGATGGGACATATCCAGAGAGAGGTACAAGTAATGAGCAACTATGTAGTCGCTTAGACATGTTGACTTTGAAAAAACGTAGGTACTGTGCCTCAATAATATTTGGCTACAAAATGATCAACAATTTAATTGATTGCCCCATGATCCTGGAACAGATCAAGTTTCGTACTCCAACGTTTGCATCTCGCAATCATAAAATATTCGGGCTTCCTAGAGCTAGGACAAACATTCTTCTCAAGTCACCCTATATGTAATGTGCTCTAACTTAAACAGAAGTGGATGTTACTGTGATATATTTACGACAAATGTTAATTACCTGCTAAAGGCAGCTAAGGCTTATTCGGATAGCTCATGTTACAAATTTATACCTGTGTTGCATTTGTTGTTTTCTTTTCGCTTTTTTTCGCTTATTTTGCTTTTGTATTATGTTTATAAATTGTACTACAAATGGGAAACTATTGGACAATAAAGCTATTATTATTATTATTTAGTCCATGAACATATTTATTTCTTAAATAGTTTACTAAATTCACGTATGTTAACACAGCCAATTCATATAAATATAAACCAGGCAAAGTAAACAGTTCCCTACAACTATGCGTACTATTTACTTTAGCAATGCTTCTGATCACTATTTTTGGCATACATATTGGGCGTTGCACTTGATGTACCTTAGAAGCAAAGGCCATACTTCAGTCTGGATTTAACCTGTGCATAGTATCGACTGATAAGTTGGTCTTCATTTAGAACTGTTCATAAATTTTTACAAATGTATGAATGTAAATTTAGATTCTGGGATATTAGGAGTCGAACACCAGTTTGTCGAGTACCCCTTCATATTGTACCTTGCGTTTGGTTGTTTTTGTTTTGGTGCTACCACGTCCATTTTCTTATGGGTTTATAATCTTCAGCTTGGAAAGGCATCTCGGATAACCACCACACACTCCTACAGCTTTGTTTTGCAGCTGATATTGCTGGAAGCCACCCCTTTCCCTTAGCAAAAAAAATTTCTTTATAACGGACAACACAAATAACCCGTCTAGTAGAGCTAATATACTTCTCAAGCAGCATATTCAGTAATAGTTTTCTTAGAAAATATTACTTATTTTATACACATGCAGACCAATATACATAATCACCACACAATCATCCAGTTTAGATCTTGCTATTCAACTTATTTTACTTCAGTCCCATCTCAGAGATATATAGTCCACAGCATTCTGCAATCAACAAAGCACACTAGCATGTCGTTTGACTCATTTCTCCATAGATGACGCTAGGGTGAGACTTGAACGATTAATAGAAATTTGGAATAGGACACCTGGCAATGTTGCTATTAAAACAACACCACGAGATTCCAAAAAATTATTTTATCTGCTGGGACTAACAGAATAACTCAAACACAAATTTTCTATGAGGTCGTCCCAAAGCAGAGCCTCTGCGTTCTTTCCTTAATACGACTTTGGGGCCGCAAGTGCGATACTATTGGTGTCACTGATCAACAGCCAAAAATATCCTAAATAAAATCAACAAATATTACTATTTTTAATGTGCTAAAACCGAAATGAAACTTATTTTTTCAATATTAGTTCAAGTTTTAGAGATACGGTAATTATATTTGTTCCTGCTGTGACAATGTTAATATACTGTAATTCACAAGAATGCACGTGCTACATTTTTATATTCGGCAAGGAAAGATGATGTAATCGGCATGGTTGTGTTACGTTATACATACGTGTACAGTATATTGTTTTATATTAGCCATTTTTTCCTCAGTCAGCTAACAGCGTTCATGCAAGATGTCTCTAAAGTTTGTAAACAATCCAGATCATTTTATTACGTGTGTGGTGATGTGACTTTTCGGTCTCAGAGACGGTCTATTACTCCACTAATAACAAAGGCATATCAGCTTTATTTCGGTTGTAAACTAGGTGATCAAGACAAACAGTGGGCACCCCACATCTGCTGTAATGCATGTGCTTCAAGTCTGAGGAGCTGGTTAAATGGCAAAAAACGGTCTATGCGCTTTGCTGTCCCAATGGTTTGGAGAGAGCCTACAAATCATATTAATGATTGTTACTTTTGCTTGGTACCTTGTGTTGGACAAGCCACAGGTATGTCCAAGAAAAAAAAAATCGGTTATAACTACCCAACATACCATCTGCTATGAGACCTGTGCCTTACAGTGACGAAAATCCTATCAAAACCCCCAGAATCCTACACTTGCGAATCATAAAACGAATCAGATCATGGCGATCGAGTGATTCGTCAGGAAGAAGATATGCCATCAACGTCAGGATATCAACTTGTTAGAAGACGATGTTTCGGTATGTGTTTATTGTAAACGCCATAAAGACTTAGAACCATTTTTCAATATGGAGAATAACTTGGTTTTTCTGCAGTAACATTAACGGCTTACTGGCGGCTTTAAATATAAACTATAACTCGGAAGAATGGAGAGTGTTTATAGGCAGTTCAACATTGAGTTTAAAGCAGTGTTATTGCATATTGGAAATATTTTACCATCTCTTCCTGTAGGGTATGCAGTTCACATGAAAGAATCATATGACAATATGAATTACCTATTGACATGCATAAAATACGATGAGCACCAATGGCATATTTGTGGCGATTTGAAAGTTGTTGCACTTTTACTTGGGCTGCAGCTAGGCTACACAAGCTTTTGCTGTTTTTTGTGTGAATGGGACAGTCGGGCAAAGGCACTTCATTACACCAGACAATTCCTAGAGTCAGGTCAAAAAATGTACGGCATATGCCATTAGTAGATTCGAAAAAAATGTTATTACCACCCACTTCATATAAGTTGGGCCTAATGAAAAACTTTGTCAAGGCATAGATAGAGATGGGTCAGCTTTTTCAATATCTGCGTCAGAAATTTCCAAGACTAAGTGAGGCAAGGTTAAAGAAGGTATTTTGTTGGGCCACAGATTCGAAATATTTTGAAAGATACACAGTTTGAAAACACTTTACAGGTATTGAAAAAACTGCTTGGAATGATTTCGTCTGGTGGTCACTAATTTCTTAGGAAATAGAAAAGCTGGACAACTATAAAACCCCTGTCAAAAATATGCTGTCATCGTATCAAAAGATGGGCTGTAATATGTCTCTTAAGATACATTTCCTACACTCACACCTGGACTTTTTTCCTGACAATGCGGAGCCGTAAGTGATGAGCACGGCGAACGTTTTCATCAGGATATTTCAACAATGGAAAAAGGTACCAGGAAAGTGGAATCCTTCCATGCTTGCAGGACTACTGTTGAACTCTTGTAGAGATGCTCCAGAAACGATCCATAAAAGAACAGCAAAAGACAGCGCATATAGTGATTCTTATAAGTATATGAATCTTGTTACTTTTTTAATACATCCTTGAAAATAAAAAGTTTTTTTCTAAACCGCAACAAATTTTTTTATTCATTGTCATTTTTGGATTCAGCGCCCCAAAATTAACAATGAAGTGCACTTTTCCCACATGATACAATAAAAAACTAAAATTTGTTGTCCAGTGATCTTTTCTTGTCCAGAGACATTACTTATTATTGCTAAAACTCTAGTTCATGTTGTTTTTGACAAAGTCGATCAAATGGAGATACAATTTAGTGTGCAATAAGTAGTGGAAAATCAATTCGATTTCCAAGTATCCTTCTGCGTACGTAGTTAGAAATTGATAAAAGCTTGGTAACTTGAATGGTCACAGTCGCATTCAATTCTCTGTGAAATACTGGACTGAAAATTTCTTGATGATTTTCATAAATAGTCATATTTGACATACAAAGTAAGCGTTCGCCTTTTTGGTTTGACTCTGGTTCGTGAGATAAATGGAACAAAGTGGAAACATTTAGAACACCTTTCTACAGTTGTATTAGTTTCTAATGACCTCAGGGTAGTCTCTGGCTAGCTCCGTACTAAACTAATCTGATCCAGTGTAGATGCCTGTTGCGATGACAGGAAACTGATTATTGGAAATAAATGCTTATTAAAAAGGCCACAGTCGCTGGCAATTTTCTTAGTCAAAGGTTTCAGACCTTTTCCCCTTTACCGCGCGTACCGAAACTCATTGTAACTGGTGTTCAACATACGCATAGCCTATGAAAAGTTGCTTATTAACTCGAACTTTGTTCCAGGTTCTGACCTTCTGCTACCTCTCAGCCTTCAATTGGTGGCTGTTGGTATGCCCGGCCATGTTGTCCCACGACTGGCAAATGGGATCAATACCCCTGATAACCTCGATAAGTGATAGTAGGAACTTAGTTACCTGTTTCTTCTTCGGCTTTGCATTCCTCTTGGCCGCAAGAGCGCTTGCTGACTTTGAGGTGAGTATCTATTCAGGAACTGTTACCTTGCGTGTGTAAAAATCTTGAAAGAAGAGGAGGTTTGAGGAAAGAGCGCATACTCTTTCCAACTTTGACAAACAGATACAAAACGAATAACTGTTTTATTTTTGGAAAGATTCAGAAAAGTGTTTTAGGCTTTTTAGTTTACCCAAATTTGCTCCGCTGGAAATGCACATGCCCAAAGGTCTAATCACAACTAAAGATAAGAAAAACTAGAGTAGGTGTAATCGTTGTCAGATTTAAACCATTTATTAGTATCTACTCTCTACAGATGACTGTTGAATGTTGCTACTACGTAGAAATGATTTCCTGAAAATGCAACACTTTCATTTCCTGTAATGTAAGCCGGGCTTTTATGGTATTTTTTATGTAGTCTTTGTACTTCCTATTAGAAGAGACCACAGATTCTGAAGCATTTCATTTGGTATTCGATCAACGAATTTAGTCTAGATGGATCCATTCAAGGATTTGTTTTGACTCCTTCTGAGTATCAGTGAGGATCATAAAGTGCAGTTGACATTTTTTTTTTTATATCGAAACAGCCGCGCAGGCAGAAGCCTAAATGCCGGAACACCGCGGCTGCTATGATGATCCCAAAGAAATCTTGTTAATACGATTTTTGAACTGCCTAAGGTTAGTAGAACTGGGAAAAGCTTCCTCCCGTAGTTTGTTCCACAATCTAGGACACCCTCGGGACAAAGGAGCGGTCGTATCGGCCAGTTCTGGATGTACGAAGCTTGACACGGTTAGGAAGGGGACGTCGAAATCAGGCGGGTCCTGTCTGGCAGGCACATCGCGCGGCGCATCATGGAAGAGAGCTCTGAGGAGCAAAGCCCGTTGGTGTAGCGATAGAAAAGAGCTAGATCGCCTACCGCCCGCCGGTGCGAAAGAGTCCCGAGACTGTCTGTTAGAGAAGAGTCATCGATCAGTCGGACCGCCCTCCTCTGGACAGCATCGAGCATGGACAATGTAGTCGGGGCGGCAGCACCCAAATGTGTGAGCAATACTCGAGGCTAGGCCTTATCTGGGCCTTGTATAGAGTGAGAAGGTCATGCGGAGAAAAGTACTTCTTAGCCCTAAACAAATAGCCTAGCTTTTTCCCAGCAGCTGCAGCTATTGAAGAGATGTGTTCGTGCCAAATCAGGTCCTCAGTGATCTGGACTCCGACCAGCCGAAATGAATGGCTCTTTGGTAGAACTCGACCGTCCATCGAAACTGTATGAGCGCTAGGACGCTTTTTGTTCGTCAAAGTACAGTACTGTGTTTTGGAAGCATTGAACTGTACAAGATTGTTGCGTCCCCAAGCAGTGATAGCCTCCAGATCTCTTGTCAGAGAAGAAGTCGTCGCTAGTCTTCTTTTTTCCAGCTCAGCGGCAGAGATCGGCTTGTCACTCTGAATTCTTGCATGTAGAGTGCTGTCATCAGCGAAGCTGTGGATTGAGTTGATCGTGCAGGAAAGGAGGTCGTTGATATGTAAGAGAAAAAGTGTTGGAGCCAAGACCGATCCCTGGGGAACACCCGCGTTGACGTTGTGGGATGAAGAGGAGAATCCGTCAATTACGACGGATATCTTGCGGCCAGAGATAAAGTCAGCCACCCATCTGCAAAGCTTTTCTGGGAGGCCGTAGGATGGAAGTTTGCTCAAGAGGGCAGCGTGCCACAGCTGATCGAACGCTTTCGTGATGTCAAGAGCAACGACATGAGCCTCACCATGAGACTGGATGAGTTTACTCCACAGTTGCGTGACGTAAGCTAGGAGGTCCCCTGTGGATTGTTGGTGCCGGAAACCGTACTGCCTGTCGCTAATCAAGCTGTGACGTTCGAAGTAGTCCAGAAGCTCGCGATTTATGTAGTTCTCCATCACTTTACTTATAACAGAAAGCAGAGCTATAGGCCTGTAGTTGTAAGGGTCGGACTTAGATCCTTTTTTTGGGATGGGCTGTACATGAGCAAATTTCCAGTTTTCTGGAAGGTGCCGGATTCATAAGATATCTGGAAGAGACGCGAAAGAACTGGAGCAGCTCAGCTGCACATCTCTTCAGTACAATGGCAGGAATCAAGTCCGGACCAGAAGCTTTGTTGATGTCAAGCGACAAGAGCACTCGTCTTACGGTCTTATGCCTGAATCTTACCTCCCGCATAGTGTGGGGAACCCTTTGAATTGACGGCACTTGGGCGTTGGTGGGGACGTCCATGGTGGAGTTGGCAGCAAAGATCTTGGCTAGCACTTCCGCCTTGGCCTTTGAGTCGAATACAATAGTTCCATCCTGACACGTAAGTGGTGGAAGGCTACTGTGTGAGAAGTTCTTTTCAACCTGCTTGGCCAGCGTCCAGAAAGACCGACTGCCATTGCGCTGCGACATTACCCTGTGCCTAACTTTTATATCATGCTGGGTTTTGGCAATGCGAACCGCTTCGTTATATTTGTTTCTGGACTCGACGTCGGCTTGTCTGTTCTCTACAGTGGGGTTTTGTAAGTAGGTTCTGTGGGCCTTGATCTTCTGCTGGCGAGCAGTGTCACACGATTTGTTGAACCAGCCGTTGGACCCTGGTTTAGGAACTTTCACTGTGTGAGGGATGTATTCCTCCATTCCGACGTGGATAATTTCGGTTATTGAAGAACAGACAGTCGACGCATCCGCGTCAGTGAAACAGACATCTCTCCAAGGAAAGCTAGAGAAGAAGTCTCTGAGCCCCTCCCAGTCGGCATGTCCGTAATGCCAAGTTTTGCGGCCTGTGCGAGTTTCTTCTGCGGCCACAGCGGCTTCTGACCGAAACCTAACCTCCACAACACCGTGATCTGAGTTACCTAGGGGGGACAGGACGGCAGTGCTGTAAGGGGCAGGATGCGTGGTCAGAAGGAGATCCAGCAGGCTACTGGCGGTGTGACGAGACCGCGGGGGAAAAAAGTAGGGCTCGTCACCAGCTGGGTCAGCCCTTGAGTAAGAGCGAACGCTTCGACTGCACGACCTGCTGCATCGGTCTTATTTAAGCCCAACCAAAGCTCATTATGGGCATTGAAATCACCGAGAAGAACTACCTCTGAAGCGGGGTGATTGATGTTCAGGAAGTCGATCTGGACGACGAGGTATTCGAGTAGGTCATCCCAGTTATGGTTCGAGGGAGAGCGATAAAGGCAGCAAATAAATTTGGGTGATGTTTTGGAGTTGAGGCGAAGCCACAGAATGTCCTTCCGGTCTGATTCCAAAGAAAGATCCCTGGAGCAGGAAAGACTGCTGCGGACAAAAGCCACAACTCCCCCGTTCTTTCTCAGATTGGGGTGCACCTCGTAGTTTGGGAAGTTGAGATGGTTAATCGGTGCAGTTGATGATGCTGTTGATCCCACAGATGTTCGAAAAACAAATTTTATCTTCGATGTTGTTCCCTCGAGCCCACCCTCCACCCGGACATTCCGAGAGTGGAGTGAGTTTACGTCCGGAGTTTTTAGTGCTCGAGGGATTCATCATCATTAATTTCTTTGTTTTGGTAGATAACCGACTGCATAGCTTAGGTGTGGAAACATGCGGACAATTATAAGACACCCTTGGAAAAGCTAGCGGGTGGTACTGCCTCGGTCGACTGGTCCTTGTCTACCACCTTCTTTTTACGTATTAGTGATGTTAAATAGACCTAAAGTGCCCCGTTGGCGGACTTGTACCGCCACCCGGCAATCGGTAGCTGAGGTATTCCTTAACGCGTGCGCAATCACTTGGACGGGAAGAAGTTGTATACTGGATACAACGATTTCCGGAAGCATTTGCCACGGCCCTCGCTCAGTAGGGTTGGCATAAGTCAATGTCTTGACAGTTCGATTCATATTTTTAGTGCTATCTCTGGAAAATGCGTGTGTGTGCAGATAATTGTGGTTATTTACTTGGTGGTATGGTACGACTCACATATTCTGCAAAGAACGGCAGACGTTCAATAAAGGTAGATGATTCCACCGGTGAATACTATTATTATTTTGATACAACTCTGTTACTTTGGTAGGGATGGTAGTCAAACGAGTCAAACGTGTGCCCCTGGCAACAAACAATGCAATGCAAACATATAGGCTTGTTTCCTTCTAATTCATTCGAATTCGTTGCTTGGTATCAACAGAAAGGGTTGTAAAGTAAAGCAAACAATATACGAAGGAGGATCAAATATTTACCGGACTTTTGATTTAGTAATTTTATTGCTATCGTACAAACAAGTTAATTTACATCTTATTTTTCTGCATAATCTCCTGTCTTATTGACGCATTTTTCTCATCGCATCGGGAGGTTTTTAATTCCTCAATTAAAGAATGAAGTGACCTCCTAGTCTACTTTCAGTGCCTCAAACATGTGATTGTTACAAGGCGACAAGTCGGGACTGTAAGACGGGTGTTCAAGTGTTTCCCAATAAATTTCGCGTATTGTTCTTGTGTCAATGCAGCTTTTTGTGGCCTAGCGCTGTCATAGAGAAGCATGTCTCGCCTTTTTTGCCGATAGGCCAGTTTCAGCCAGCAGTTCTCAGTAGTAAGCGGCATTAACTGTACCGCAATCGGAAAAAAATCAACTAGCAGTACACCTCTGGGATACCAATATACGGTTGCAAGACTGGTATTGGCTTTTCGCAGTGCTGCCTCTACATGCTTTCGCCACTACATGGAAAACATTTTTGCCCATCGTATACGTGTGTCCTTACGTCCTCCCGCGACAAAAATTTTATGATAATACGTTGCGCAACGAATGTGTGCACCTCTTGCTCAGACACGATGCTACTAACAGCTTATCTACTACGGCGCGCAAAACCGACTGACTCCTCTCTTCCTGACGTCCCCACCCAACATATACCAAGACGTCGGCCCACTCTATTCACCTATGGCGCGTCAAATAGAAAAGTCCAGTTCATATTTGATTAGCCCTCGTATGTAGCAGGAAGACACCAGAGTCATAAATGAAGACTGTAGATTGTATAGCCAAATGTTATCTAATGCTATTCCAATATCTGCAAACGGTCAAATGTCTCGGGGACTAGTAAGCTGATATTTACCAATTTTGACCAGGAGAACAATCGATTATCCCCGATCACATGATATGACATCTTGATATTTAAATGCAATGTTTTTGTTCTGTATTGTGACTTATGGGTTAGTGTTGCTCCTAGTAGAGCAATCTGCACACTGAAAAAGGCTGATCATCATAAAATACAGAAATACTCATAAATAAACTCTATTGGACATGAAAAAGTTGGCACTGACTCTGTAGAGCGCAGTTGGTCTTCGCACAGGGTAGAATGGGAAGAGTTAGTTATGAAGACATGGTAGTAGTAAGTGGATTACCAATAATTCTCGATCAGCTGCCGTAACTACTATTTTATATAAAATAACCCTTTCTCCTAATTCAAGCGCAATGATATCTTTTTTGATAAGCCTTTTTGATTAGCCCACTTGGGTGTTAATGCTGATAATTGCATTATAGGGTTTCTAAGACGCCTGCCAAACGAAAAAAAAGTTCTTCTTATGGGATAAAGCATTTACTGACATTTTCTTTTTCAGAGCCAGAGGCAGCCGCAGGTTGTGTTAGGACTGTTGTTTCTAGTGATACCCTTCCTCCCTGCCACAAATTTGATGGTGACTGTGGGATTTGTTATAGCTGAACGTGTTTTGTATATACCTAGGTAAGTTAGTGGCAGCATAACACCATGAAATATGACATTAAATCCACCGTCAATTATGTACTGAAATTTATAACATGTTGAAAGCATTCCGAGCTGTATTTTTTTGTAAAGGTTTTCTTGTCATATCAGGATCCGGACATGTTTCATTAATATTCAGTGATTTTTATGTGTTGGTTCCATTTGTTTCTTTGCATTATCATGCCTAGAGGTCGCAGACGCGCCAGTTCCAGTCAATTTTCCGAGAATAAACTTGTAAAAGTATGCTTAAAAACACAGCACACCTAGACGGTGTTGCATTTTCTATATCATTTAGTATACAGGATAAATATTTGGTATACACACTACGTCTGAAAAGTTCCCGAACTAGGTTCATCAAAAATACAAATTAAAAGATAAACAAATTCATTCACATCGGCCTTCTACTTTGGAACCTTCTCTAGTACAGATTGACAAATCTAGCTTGGACTCCCAAGGTCAGATGCGCGGTTGACACGGCGGAATGTAGTGGGGACACCTCAGTACAAGCAGCGATCGAGCAGCATCGTGGGTACAGCTCCAGCAAAAATTTTAATTGCGTTAGCTATAGGTTGTTTTTATTTATACTCGAAGGTTCTGAAAAATTGAGAGTTAAGTTGCAAATAAAGTTGGTGAAAGCCGAGAAATTGTTGCCTCGGTATTGAGATTCATGCAGAATGAAGCTGAAAATGGAGAGGCTGTTCCTTTACACATAGTAAATATAGTTACGACTACAATAAATTACGATTACTACTGCGATTATTATTACTATTATTATTTTTTCTTCATGCTCATAGTTCTCACGTATGGGGTGGTGTACTATCTTTGAGGGGGAGTTCACCCCAACCAAGGATAGTTTTTACAGAGACAGTGCCTTTCTCACAATATCACACGTTTGTAAGGTAACGGCTTTTTGGAATAGTATGTGAATGCCGTTTGGAAGGTCCAAGGTCTTTAAGCTTGAGGAGACTTGTTTGGTAACAGCCCCTTCCACAGAGATAACAATGGGTACAATCTGCACTTCCCTTAGCTTCCAAATCCTTTTCATTTCAATCGCCAGGTTCTGGTATTTAACAGATTTTTCACGCGCTACCTTGAGTATGTTGTGTGTAAGCGGAATTCCAACCTCAATTATCTGTGCATATTGGTTGCTTTTGTCTATCAGGACAATATCGGGACGGTTAAAGTCTACAGTTTTGTCGGTTAGAAATGGCCGATCCCAATAGAGTATTACATCTTTTGATTCCAGAACTGGCTCAGGCGTGTACTTGTAATATGGCGGAGGAGATTGTACCAAGCTAAGTTTACGAGCTAGCTGTGAATGGATTATTTTTGCAACCTGGTTGTGTCTTCCCAAATAATCGCCAGCTGCCAACGCAAGGCAAGTAAGTAATATGTTCGATGGTTTCACCCGCCTGGTTGCACTTCCTACATTCATCTGGGACGTTGGATTTGAGAATATGTTTTTCATAGTTTTTGTTTTTATTACTTTATCCTGGATGGCAGTTATGAACCCTTCCGTTGTTGGATAGAGATATCCCTTTCTCAAATAGGTGAATGACAAAGCTTTATCTATGTTGTCATCTCTCAGTTGGCATGGTAACGGCCTTGGAGAATTTTCTCCTCCCAGCATTCTCTCCTACTAGTATTCGATTCCGAGGCCGTATTTGCTTGAGGTTGCCGAAAGCTCAAAGGGGTAAATGAGTCATCTGCCTCCACTACAGCAGCTATCTTAGGACTTAGATGGTTATTAAAGTAATTTTGTAATTTGGCTACCTAAGACTTGCAGAGTTGTGTTATGTTGAGCAATCCGCGGCCCCCTTGTGCGCGAGGGAGGTACAGCCGTTCGGTTGATGCCTTTGGGTGGTGACAATGGAACTTTGTGAGCTTTACACGAGTTATTCTGTCTAGCTCTTCAAGGTCTGTATTTCTCCATTTCACAATACCGAACGAATATGTAAGTGAACTTATTGCTCAACTGTTGATTGCTTTGAAAAGATTCTGCGAGTTTAATTTGGTGTTGAGTAGTTTTGTAAGCCGACGGATGTACTTTTCTCTATAGATTGACTTCATGGTAGAATGACACACACCCCTACTTTGGTGTATCTCCAGGTACTTATACGGTTGGTCTTCTGCTAGAGGCGCGATGTTTTCTAAATTTTCTTCCAAAAGAGTTAGGTTACCTTTTCTTATAGTGACAGTGGCGCACTTATCTAACCCAAATTTCATTCCTATATCATTGTTGAATATCCGTGTCGTTCGCACTAGAGAAGCAAGATGTTGCCTTGACTCGGCGTATAGTTTGAGGTCATCCAGATGGTTGAATCTGGTAGGCTCAGTCACATCGAGCCTGTACCCGAACTTGGAATTATTCAGCAGTGATGACAGTGGGTTCAGGGCTAGACAGAACCACATCGGGCTGAGAGAATCACCCTGGAATATGCCTCTGCGTATGCGCACGTCTCTTATGTCCTCCGAATTAACTCTTAAAGAGGTTCCCCAGTTCATCATCAGATGGGACAATAGGTTTATGATGCGGATGTCTACTTTATATATATACAGCACCTTCAAAATCCAATTATGTGGTACGGAATCAAACGACTTGGAGTAGTCGATGTAGCAGACATGGAGATTTCTCTTATTTTTACACGCATGCTTCGTAATAACGGAATCAATTATAAGTTGCTCTTTGCATCCGAAAGAACCACGGACACCCCCCTTCTGTTCTGTAGCAATGATATTGTTGCTTTCACAGTGAGTATATATTTGGTCATTCAAAAGTGCTGTTAGTAGTTTATAAAACACAGAGAGACATGTAATTGGTCTACAGTTTTTCGGATCCTCAGGATTGCCGTTTTTAAATATAAGATGTGTTATTCCTTTCGTCAAGAAGTTAGGTAATATCTCCGGGTTGGTGATTGCTTTAGAAAGTGATCGACCCAATGCAGCATGTGTGCTTAGGAACTTCTTGAGCCAAAAGTTCTGAATATTGTCGGGTCCCGGCGCTTTCCAATCAGCAGCATTTTTTAGCACTCTACTTACGTCATCTTGAGAGAATATTGCAACGCTCATTGGGTTTACCTTAGCTGCCTTCACAACTTCTTTGATCCAAGGCGCATTAAGGTCTGATGGCTTTGGCTCGGACCAAGTATCACTCCAAAATTTAACAAAATTTTATATATCTCTAATGCCTTTGGGTTCCGAAGATGATTCTGAGATGATATTATATCCTTGGAGCCGGGCACCTTTCAATTAGGCTTCTTGCCTCAGTTTATCTCTATGCAGGTTTAAAAATGAACTATCGTAATCGCAGCTGGGGGTACGGTAATTTTCCGTTTAATATCTGCAATTTTCTTGACCACCTTTCGGGACCTATTGCCTACTAGGTATTCTGAAATGAGATCCGCCTCAGCTCTACATGAGTCAATATCTTACATGAGTCTTAGTTTCCATGGCTCCTCACTACGTTTCGATGTCTTTTTAAGAGGCGCATCATTAGGTGGTAGTAACTTTTGACCATTCACGTTCATCACAGTAGCAGCTGCAGCATAGATAGATAGGTGTACTTCTTCTAAGTCATCTGATGTATTATTTGATTGGATTTTGCATTTAGTAGAAGCTTTGGGAGCCTAGGCCTTTTTGTGGGGTCACTAAATCGGTAGAAGCTTAAGGTGCTTAGAAAAAGATCATTCAGCTCTTTTATCTCTCTCGCTCTATTATTATTGTTATTGTTATTATTATTATTATTAGTATTATTATTATTATTGCGTATGTGAGATGGAAGTCTACGTGTAGTGCAGGCGATTACCATAATTTTGAGAATTATAAAAAGTGGTTGGTAGTTCCAAACCTACCTCCCAACAACGTGGTTGTTATAAACAACGCACCGCTTCCTGAACAAGCATGGCAGAAATGATGATCTGGCGTCGTCACAGAAATATCTTTCTTTCAGACGACATTCTTAAGCCAGAACTGCACAATTTGATAAAACTTCATAAGCCTGCTTACAAGAAGTTTGCAATAGATAAAATGCCGCATGATGCTGGGCACGATGTATTAGGATTACCACCCTATCACCCCCACTTGAACCCCATAGAACTCGTATGTGCAGTAACGAAATCTCACGTAGCACGTCTGTTAAACTTTCTGCTGTTTTAAAATACTGCTATGAGTTTTTTAATACATTTGGGAGTGACAAGTGGAAAACGAGATGAGATCATACAAAGGAGCTTGAAAAAGAATTTATAGAACGCGAGCCCGTGGTTGATAGAGTTGTGGATGAATTCGTTATCAATTTGAATCGAACTGACAGTGATAGTGATTCTTTCGAAACTGAAGATGAAGATTCAGAAGGAGAAGAGGACGATAGCAGAATTTTTGGTGTAGAATCGGCAGGAGACTCTATAGTTCATGAAGCCAATTCTGATAAGACGTACATCAATCTTTGAGGCTGATGATAGTAAATTAAGGTGTTTGCAGATTCATTCCTGTGAGATATGTGTAAAATTCTCTAAAGGTGCTGATAGTTTGGATAGTAAACTGTTGATCCATTTTAAAATTTTCGAAAACGATAACAGAATCTTTAGGGTTTAGAAGCCCCACCTGAAGCTTTTTTGTATTATGTTTTTCAGTTGGAATCAATATTTCTTTCCCCATTTGAGAAACGAAGCTTAGAACAGGGCATATCTAATAAATTGTGGGACATTATGAAAGATATAGGGTTTCAAGGTCCTGGTATACAATTTACTGTTTTCTGAAAAGATCTAAACGTTAGGCTCAGTAGAGCTGAGGCACATTTTTTATGAAAAGTTATCCCCCCTATTCAGCTAGATTCAATGTGTCAATTTGACATAGACGCCATCTTTGTTTTCTGTCACCGTCATGTCATTTTCATAGTTGAATGTTTACCATTGATCGCTATGGAGTCGTATTCGATTGAAGACCGCATTAAAGTTATTCAAGAGCACTACAAAAATGGTGCAAAAATAAAAAACACGTTTCGCGCGCTTAGTGAACATTTCGGTCGCAACAACCGCCCAAACGAAACAACCATCGGTCGTCTGGTGCGTAAATTCGAGGCAACAGATTCTGTGGCAAATCTGCCAGGCTCTGGCCGGCCAAGGAGCGGTCGCACACCGGAAAATATTGCTGTTGTGAAGGAGAGTGTGAGAGACGATCCGAAACAATCAACAACGCGTCGATCCCAAGAATTGGTCATTTCGAGAACCAGTTTGCTCCACATTCTCCACAAGGATTGAATGTACACGCCTACAAGATCCAATTGACGCAAGAGCTGCGTCGGGCCGACCATTTTTCGTGCCGAACGTTCTGAGATTGGCTCCTTGAACACCGCCAAATTGATGCCAATTTTTCATCAAAAATCATGTTCAGCGACGAAGAGCATTTCACTTTGAATGGGACGGTAAACAAGCAAAACTGCCGCATCTGGGCGAACGAAAATCCCCGTGAGTATCAAGAGCAGCCGACGCATCCTCAAAAAGTGACTGTGTGGTGTGCATTCTCAAAAGGCATCATCGGACCTTACTTTTTCGAAAATGCGGCCGGGGACGCCGTTACCGTCAATTCTGAGCGATATCACGTGATGATAGAGGACTATTTTTTGCCGCAACTTGAAGGAATGGATATGGACGATGTTTATTTCCAACAGGACGGTGCAACATGCCACACATCCAACGTCAATATCCATCGATTGCAGTCCTTCTTCGGTGATCGCGTGATTTCGCGTAGAGGAAATGTGCCATGGCCACCAAGATCGTGCGATTTGACTCCCTTGGACTACTCTTTATGGGGATATTTGAAAAGCACGTCCACAAACCAGCCACCCTCCAAGAACTCAAAAAGAACATCATTGCCGAGATAAATGCCATAGAACCGACCATGTTGCAAAATGTCATTGAAAATTTCGACCATCGCGTGGACGTCTGTAAATCCAGTCGTGGTGAACATTTGAGCGATGTTACTTTTTATACATAAATGGTAAAAATGAACCTTCAAAATTAAGTACCCAACTTGATTTGAATATCAATCTTTCTTGTTATAATATGCGTTTACTTTCCTGAATCCCTTAATGAAAGAATTGTATCCCAGCAGTTTTTCCGTAAGGTGAAATGTCAAATTCAGATGTGTTTTATAAATTTCTCTCAGTGTAGTTGGTAAGCGAAGTCAAGGGGTTGTCTACGACGGGTGAATTGTAATCGTAAAACAGGTAGCCTTTCATCAAATTAAATGAAATAACAGAAATTGGCACGCGGTAACTGAACTTGCCGCGCCGACTGTACTTCTATATCCGTCGGCTATGACCGTTTCTCTCAGCCATCTACCGCGCACTCTATTTTCTGCGCATCTCGCGGCTCAAGCTGGATTTGCTGACCTGTAATACATTCGTTACAGCGCCAATAGAGTGCGTCGAACGATCTGGAGAATTCGTTTTCTGAGATCGCTTTTGGTGCAAGCCTTCTAGATAACTGAAATGACATAAAAAATATCATCCTTTCATCTTCAGTTTGAGCTTGGAACACAAAAAATAGTCGGCTGGTGCCAGAGCAGATGAATAAGACATAAGTGATTTGATTAGTCACGCAGTAGCGCTTCAGAAGGGTCATAGAGTCCAGCTACCCGGATCCCGGTATTCGAACTGGATCCGACGAATGAGACGCATCAGGCGTTTCATAACCTCCAAATAGAACGTGGAATTTACAGTTTGCCCAGTCGGAACGAATTCGTGGTGCATTTGATCAATAAAATGCGATCAACATTTTTTTCACCTTCGACTTTTGTTGACTTCGATGGCCTTTGCACACCTGGACTCCACCAACCAGCGGATTGACGTTATGTTTGAGGATCGTACGTGACACACCAGCTTTCGTCGCCGTGATAATTGTTTCCAAAAAAAAATATAAGACGAACGCAAAACATTATCGCACTTCTTCGTTCCATGTCGCGGATTTGCACAAGGTCACAAGGACACAGATTACTCGAGACTGAAGTGACCAATCGCGGTGAAATTTGGCACACATACACTTCAGACAACGCGCAACACAGTTCCGGGATTGTTCAAGAGGTCACGCTGCTTTTATCGGATACAGAAATTCAGTTCATGAACTTGTCAAATATATTGTGTAAGTACAGTACAAAACCTAGTCTGTTATGACAAATATCGGGTAGAAAAAAGTGACGTGTAGGCTCGTTAACGGCCTCAACGATACCATATCAATCTGTTACGTCGACCCGTCTGTCGCTAAAGCTGAGAAAGTATTATGTGAATTATGCTGAAGTTTTGACTTCAGGTTATCACTCTGTCAAGGAAGGCTTCAAAAGTCTTCACAGTGACGCTGGAGCTATGCTGCGTCTAGAAGTGCTTACCAGTTCCTGATAACTTTCGTGATCACTCAGAGAAACATTTAGGGAGCTCAAAACTTTAAAGTAAAACGTAGCTTATATATTACTAATAACGCTCACAGCTTTCGCACACATAAAATGTTAAATAAATCCATATAAATGCTTTGGAAGAGTTAAAGTAGAGCGACGTCGCCTAATGCAAAATTGAGCATGTCGTATCTTGCAATATCACCTTGGAAGGAACGGTGTATATAACGGGTGATTTTTTAAGAGGTATAGGATTTGATTTTCAAAAAAAGACATAAAATTTGAAAAAACGATTAAATCTTTATTTGAGTCGGTAGAACGGTCGATATAATTTATTGTTTAAATATTATTTCATGTAAATGTTGGCCGCGGCTCAGCTTTAGATGACCCTTGCGCTAGGTCCAATTTTGGCACACTCTCTCCAACATATCGGCCGGTATCTCACGAATAAATGCTTCAATATTGGCTTCCAGTGCGTCAATCGTTGCTGGTTTATCCCTGTAGACATTAGCCTTAACATGGCCCCACAAGAAATAGTCCAACGGCGTTAAATCACACGATCTAGGCGGCCAATTGACGGGCCCCAAGCGTGAGATAAACCGTTCACCGAACTCGCCTCTCAATAGGGCCACTGTTTCGTGGGCGGTGTGGCATGTGGCACCGTCTTGTTGAAACCACGTGTCAGCCAAGTCCAGCTCTTCTATTTTGGGCAAAAAAAAGTTTGGCATCAACGCACGGTAGCGCTCGCCATTCACAGTTACGTTCCCGCCATTGTCGTCTTTAAAGCAGTACGGCCCGATGATGCCACCGGCCCATAATCCACACCAAACAGTGTTTTTTTCGGGATACACTGGTAACTCTTGCAATGCTTCTGGCTGGTCTTCACTCCAGATGCGGCAATTTTGGTTGTTAACGTACCCATTCAACCAGAAATGAGCTTCGTCGCTGAAAACAATTTTTCGATAAAAATGTGGATCTTCCTCCAACTTCGCCAGCGCCCATTCACCAAATTGGAAACGTTGTGGGAGATCGTGTGCCTTCAATTCTTGCACCAGCTGTATCTTATAAGGTTTTACACCCAAATCCTGGCGGATACAGCCGCAATATTTTCTTCAGTCCTCACTCTACGTCTCCGTGTTGGTGGTTTAATGTCCTATAATGTAAACTGGGTTCGAAATTTAGTCACAAGCTTCCGAATAGCTCCCTCAGTAGGCCGACCAAATTGCCCATAAATTGGAAGCAGTGCTCGATGCACTCTCTTCACCGAGCATGAATTTTGATAGTAAAATTCGATAATTTGCAAGCGTTGTTCGTTCGTAAGTCGATTCATGGTTAAATTATAGACCAAACTGAACAAGTTTGATAATGACACAAGACACGATTCACGCGTCATCTGTCAAAAACGGTGTTGCCAAAAAGATACTAGCAAAAAATCAACCATTATTATGCATTGCTTGCGGTGAAGTGTACCGATATACAAGTGTATAGGCTTGCCTCGTTGAAGTCTGCTAATTTTTGACTTTGAAGCTTGTTTTGATGGCTTTTGGCAATAGAATGCCAGATATATTTTGTTTTCAGGAGCATAAATGATATAATAATTTTGAGAATATTAGGTTGACATCATATTTTCGTTCACTACTACGTCATAAAATACGCTTCCAAAGTGTGTATATTATATAAAACCCTTTGGGTTATGCTAGTTGTTGAGCATTTCCTTTGAGAGGACACTCAAGTCTGACCGTCTACAAATTCTGGTCTTAGCGACTTCCTTAGTCTGGATCTAATGCAAGTGAAAGTGCTACAAACAGTCCTAAAGTTACCACTGAAAACGAAACTTCGTCGTGAGTGGCGCGGGAAGTAAAAAAATACCAGGACCAACACAAAGGATTCTAATGGCGCAGGGAGCAAATAAACGTCCTCCCTGATTTAAAAAATCTCAAACAACCGGCGTGCGATCGATCAACCGGGCTCCATGTTTTCGACCGGTACGGACATCCCGATAGTCGAGTGTAAAGACAACAAACACCCCCTAAAACAACAATAATCCCTTTTTAACGTCCGT